ATATATATATATATTATATTTTAACAAAGCAAAAAGGCTTCGACTGCATATCACAGTACTGATTTTTTCTGATTAGGGTGTTGAGAAAAATAAATTTTAAAAAAACACAAGAGAGATGCATTGGTGGTTCCCAACTAGTTTTAGTTTGTTTATTTTAGTCTAAAGCTAGACAAACAGACTCCAAACTCCACAAAGTCTGACGACAGGGATTTAAAAAAATGGATGAGAGGAAAACATATCATTGCCATTTGACCGTCCTTTTTAGGTTATTGAGACAGCTAACAGCTAACAGCTAACAGCAGTTTACATTTACTTAAAGCTTGTAACTTTCAGGGCTCAACATACTGCATTGGTCCAATGGCCTGGAGCAAGTTAAATAAAACAAAAAGAAAAAAGTCAATTCACTTTATTTTATTATTATTTTTGCTTCATTCTTAACACAGCAACAGCATAATTTAAAGACGAGGAAAAGTAAAAATTTACAAAGCAGTAACCATTGTTAAAAAATGAAAACTTTTTCGACAAACAGGTGGAAATCATGGTTTATCCACCAAAAGACCCAGGAACTGTCATTTTACAGTAACTGTTATTCAGGAAGTACCCCACTTTCCCAGTTCGTCGAACAGAATCAAGATTAAGCAAACACACCCTCCACATGCCATCCTTTGCAATACAGGACAATTGGACTTTGTCAGTCATCGCTCAGAAAATCTCGTGGTCTGCTCCGACGTAATTTCGAGAAATGTTTGCAGCGGCTGGTTTTGAGGAATGCCAAGTAACAGAAGCTACCAAAATGCATATCATACTCTAATGATCGGCACATCCTGTTCTCTAAAAGCTGCTGCAGCTTTAGAGAACACTAAGCATCTTGCTGAATTTGAACTGAGGCAGTGTGTCCTCCAACTGAAATGCAGATAGAGGAATCGAGTGGTAGTTCTAACTGATACTCTGAGAAGTACGTTTATTTAGCCGGGGGTGCTGTTTTCACTGTCCCAGCTTGTTGGTGACAAAAACAAACGCAGCTGGGTGCGACACCAGGGGACCCATGTGAAAGCCATCCCACTATCACAGCAGTGATCCTCCACACAAAAGACTGGAACAGAACTGACAGGCACAGAGCCGTGGATATGATCTCTAGCCCGTTGGGTGTGTAGTGCAGCCTGCAGTCAGTAACTGCGTTGGAACATTTGGTACATGTTAAACCTATAGGCTGGCTCATAAGCTCAAATAGTGGGATGCTGAGCAGCTGCCGCTGGGGAGCTCTACTCCATTTCCCAACCCCGCACTTCCTTTCTCTCCCTGTGACTCCTGCTCCCACTCCTCAAGTCCCAACACATCCCAGCTCGTCTTTCTCCGGGTCTCCCACGTGTGTGTAAACCTTCGCCTGACTGCATGCTCCATCACTGTCTTGCCTCCCACCAACTCTCCCTGAAAACACGATCAGTTTTCTCCAATGGGAAGAGACCGCCAGCTCCAGTCTGCGAGCACAAAGTCACAGATTGAATGCTGTGACAAAAGACGGGGACCTTGTCGGGGCACACAAACTCCTTCGGTGCATGCCGACTGTAACAAAAGAATTTGAGGCAAACTCCTCCCCCAACCCACCTTTTATTCCAACAGCGCTGAACCGAGTGATTGTTTATACTGGACACTATCCTTCAGACATTCGGCTCTCATCTCTTTGCATAACTTTTCAATGCGGGCTGCGTGTTTCAAAGCTGAATCTGCAATCTTCAGCTGCTTTTGAGCTCTGAATAACTTTATTTAATTTAGGACTGAAATTCACTTAGCCAAATCAGCTGGTCATGGTGTTTTAACAGCATCACGCAGCTTTAGTGGAGCCTCCTTTTCTCTGGGTTGTTGAGTTCATCCCCTCAGTCTCTGCCTGGATCAGTGTCTCAACACTGGGAACAATTTTATAACTCCTAACCCTCATCTTGGACCTGCTGAACAAGACTCAGAAGTTTAACACTGATTAAATGGTGTTACATAACACAGCTTTAGGCCAGTAATGACCTGGTGTCTGGTGCGGAGGGCTAACTGGTTATAAGACTGTCCAGAAAGCATCCTCACAAACCTTACTAATGCAACTAAGCTCTCTGTAAACTGTTTGAATAGCTGAGACATTTCCCAAAGCTTATGGGCGACTGGGACAACAGAGATGAGCAAAGACTGATTTCTAGAATGCCAGAGAAGTAAGACTCTCTGGTTCCTGTGGGAGAGAGTGCGGGCCAGGTCACAGGGAGATTAAAGGAAGTGATGTAACCATTACTCAAACCACCCAGACTTGGGGGTGTAAGAGTTAACATCCAAAAAACTCTTTTAAAAAAAAAGAAAACAAGTGCATGCCCCCCACACACTCGCACAGAAGATGCTGACGTTGCTGTTACGGCTCTTAAGCCACGTTCACGGGCCCATCTGGGCCTCATCATCTGGGATCAATTACAGGATACAACAGAGACTAAACTGATCTGAGCGTGAGGGACTGAAAAAACTCGCTCATGACATGATCTCAACTGAATGCAGCCTCACTTCACAATCCCATTCAATGATACCCATGTGGGGCTGTGAAGCTGTAATGTTTAAGTATCGTACAAGCAACAAGTGAATATAGGAGTTGTTTTTTGTTGTTGTTGATTTTTTGGCATTTCTGTAGTTTTATTCCACTGTGGTGTGAACTGTATCGTTTCCACAGGATGTTAATCTAGGTAGTGGGTTCGCCACAGTGGACCCAAAGAGAAGAGAGAGAAAAAGATCAATGTAAAATGCTTCTGTTCACTTCTGTCCACTATGATTCTCTTCTTGTGAAAATTAAGAGCTTGTTTTAATTACACCTAACAATCAGTTCTCAAACACATCCTGGTCCTGGAACGTGACAAATGCAGAACTTGCACTTCACTAAGGCTGAGCCATCGCTCAAATGTTTGGTTAACCTGAGATTTCGACTTCCAAAGATGATAAATCTGCGTAATCAGGACAGAACTACATTTTTGGGGCTTTTATGATTTTCAAGAGGCATGCAGCCAAGGCTTGGTGAGACTGGCTAAATTGGCAAATACACCAATTATTTTCTTAACTTACTTCCTTTTCATTTGAATTGGACTGTACTTGAAGTTTAAGGTCATCGCAGTTGAATAAATGCTTTACTAATGTTTACCACAAAGGCGGTAAATGTTAAAAGTACAATCACTGACCAAAATAATTGTGATTATGGTTTTTGAAATAACTGAGCAACACTACTGCTCACAACCACCGTGGAAAAGAGGTGTTAGTCCTTCAACTAGTCTTTTAATAAAGGTCATGGCTGTCTAACACTTTTCCCCCCTAAATTTTTCATTTCAGAGATGTACTCGAGATAGCACAAATGAAGCATTTTCATACTCATACTATTCTTGTAACAGTGACAATAAAAATCTATTCAGTCACTCCTGGCGCCCCGCGGATAGGTGACCATTAAAAAAATGCCCCCCACATGATACCATCGTTTTTTCCCTTTAGATTTTCACCTGTCTGTATATTAAGGAAGTAAAGAAATCCTAAGAGTTCTTATGATTCAGCCAAAATAAACACTTCTCCTTGACTTTCTCTACGCAGACACTGCAATGCTGTCTCGCAAGTCTTTCGGAGACTGGTTGCATCACAAGCCAAGAAAACTGTTTCTTTATTGACGTGATCGTTAATCAGCTCGACTCATCAAGAGGGCTGTGCCAACCTTTTGTCGTTTAAATATAACACATAACAGCTTTATAGCAACAAGCCTGTCACCGCCAACCTCAATTCTTCAAAGCTTGATTAGCGACCAGTAAAATCTCTCTTTTAAAAAATTTTTTTTAGTTATTTTAACACTTTGACAGAAAAAGCTTTTAAATCATTAAGCCTTCTGATCTTTTTTCTTACCTGGGTCAAATCCTGGTCTGTCAGTAGGTGCAGCTCCCGGGGTTTGAAGCAGTTCTGACATTTACTTTTGTTGAAGAAGTTTGCTTGGAATTTCCTACAGGGATTTTCTTTAGCGGTAGACATTATATTTCACCTCTTAATAATTATAATATTTTAAAAAATGAATAATTTCCGTGGGGAAACGCAGAAGGTGCAATCTCGCTGTTTTCTTGTGCGTCTCTTCTTATCCTAACTTGAAAAAAGCCCCAGCACACCGATGCATTGTCAAGCTAAAAAAAAAGAAAGACCAAACCAAGAGTTTAACAGTTCTGGGACGACGTTCAAAGCTTCTTTTATCGCTTTAGCTGTATCCAATTGCTGCCTCCCAATAAATAATTAGCTGCCATCAAGCCAGCCTTCTCATCCTTCAGTGATGAATGCCTTTCAGTCCATGGCCTGCAACCACAAAGCGTAGCGGCAAGAAGGTGGCTAATATCCTGTTAGCTTTCCAATGGGTATCCAGATCAATAACGTGATGGTGTGAGCCGCAAAAGCAACATTTGTACACAGTTATGGCCTTCGAGCTCCGGGAAAACAGTGTCATTTAAGTAACAACGCACTCCCATATGAAAGACTCAATCCAAAAGGCGGCTCACAGTCAGACAGGAGGCTACTATCCCGTTCGCAGCACTCAGTCCATGCGAAGTTCATCCAGTGCTCCTTGCTAAGCTAGCCCAGTTAGCTCGCACACAGATAGGCTAGCTAATGAAATCCTTCCCTTGCTGGCGTATTCAACTTTTTAAAGAAAAAGACTCGGTCAAAAAAATCAAAAAGCTTCATGTGCTTTCCTCCCAGGTGGGAACACAGTATGCAGGGCGAGCACCTCTTGGGCAGTCACAGATGCCAAAACGAGTACTTAGGGCTTGGTTCCATAACTAGCCTGGTTAGCAGCACTGGGTTTATTTTCTTCTTTCCCAACGGAGCAAGGGGGGAGAAGACAGAAGAGAGAGCGCAAATACACACAAGCGCCTGGAATTCTACGTGCTCTCGCGATAACTGCTCACTGCCGCCACCCACCGAAAGAAGACAGTAAATGAAAGTTATACTTGGGGGCGCAGGCATAGTCATGCTTATGTTATTGAATGTCAAATGTGATCCTTTATTAAAAATAGAATTAATACCACTATTAATACCACTTTAAAACAAATGAGAAAACCCCGTTTTCTTTTCTTGATTTGTGTAAATTGTGTACAAATTTTGCCAGCTCAACACAACAACAACACACAGTTCAAAATATGTATTGATAGATGTTTTTGTTTTCCCCTATTTGAAAAAATTGACAACAGAATAATATATAATTTGGGAAAATGTGTTTCCTCGAAACAGCAGTACAATGCAAACTCTCTGAAGACCAAGTGCAAGTCACACTCACTTATCGTCCATCCCCTCAGGCTGGCAACAAGGAAACATGCCTTAGATGCTGCGCGCCACATATGTGTGTATTAATGGCTGACTCAAGCAGAGGCTATTATAAGCAGTAGGTTCCAGTGGACAGCAGCAAGTCAGACACACAGAGAACAGAGCTGTGTGAATGGACAAGGGACACTGAGGGAGGAGAAAGGCCTCGGTTACCTAACTAAACCCTGAAAACATCAACGGCCAGTCTTGCTGAAGGATTAGCTCCTGGTCAGCGCTGTAAGTGAACCAATAATAACACAGATTATAGGTTTGTGCATGCCTGTTGTGTGGTTGCTATAGATATGCACTTCACAAGCTGACTTAACCTCCAATCGTGTGTCAGTCCAAACATGGGGCTAAGCTGGGAATTGGATCTCTGGATCATCAGTTTTAATATGGCTTAGGGGTTTCCTTAATGTGTTTTCCTCAAGTAAAGCAGGAAAAGTAAGGTTATTTAATTTATTTATAAATTATATTACATTATAAATGTGAGGCTCCCTGGCTGCCCCCCTTAGGGTATCCTATGACACTATCCTGGAGGTGACATAGTGCAAGAAAATTCTGTGGCGGCATCACGGCCAGAATATATTTAGCTGTTCTCCATAAACTCACTTTACATGGCAAGTGTGTAGCAAGGCCTCCAAATGCAATCTGTTACCCCAGGACAGTTAACACAGTTATAACAGAAGAACACATTCAAAGCAAATGTGCCTACTATATTGGTCTCAAAGTGTCTTTCAATATAGGGAAGGTATGACATTTGTCATTATAGGGTATATACTGATCTGCTTTTCAGCTACAGTTTAGAAGAGACTGCTAAGACCACCCTCACATGTGTGCAAAATTATAAGTTGGATCAACAGCTGATTATCTCAGCTTAGTACTAAGACTGGAAGCAGGGTGAAACAGCAAGCTTAGCCTGTCTAAAGGTAGAAATTTAACCTACAAATACAAATGTACAACATTTCTATTTAACATATTAGTTTGTATGTAAAATAACAACAGCAAAATAAATAAATAAAATGAAATAAAATAAAGAGAAAAGAAAATATATGTGGTTTTTCACTTAGTTACTCCAGATATGCTGTTAGGCTTTAACTATTTTTTCAGTCTTTATGGTTATCACATTTACGTAACATGTGAAAAATGTCCAGTCGGAGATCAGGAGGGGGTACATACTTCTGGGAAGGTTTCATCAGAAAGGACATCTGGTATATTTTGAAACCATATATTATACGATATTATATTATAGTTTTTATGAGTACTCTCCCCACACTGACCCGTCTTTTTTCTCTGCTACAGAACATGGGCCTGCCCTCGGTGATAGTGCTGCCCCTGCTGATCGTTGTGGCAGCAGGCGTGTACTACATCTACAATGAGATTTTGCACTTCATGTCCAAGTCCTTAGTACGAAACAAAGTGGTGGTGATCACTGATGCTGTGTCTGGGGTGGGGACCGGTAAGGGATCCAACTTGTGTTTTTATTTTTTAATTTTACTTTGATCTGAACTCAACATTTAATGAACATCATCTTCTTTTCCAGAGTGTGCCCGTCTCTTCCACAAGGGTGGGGCCAGACTGATCCTTTGTGGGACTGGCTGGGATAAGCTGGAGTCTCTGTATGACTCTTTGACAACTGATGCCGACCCCAGAGAGGTGAGGAATTTATCAGTTAACTTTTAATAAGGCTGTTTCAGTAAAATTAATGTCTGTTATTATGTGCAGGAAGCTTTTGCAATAAGGTGACACAGCAAAGCCTCCTCCTACTATACCAAAACAAATTACCAAAATAACTGACAGGAATTGACATGTGACACCAACGTGGCATTTCAAGTTTAACAGTTTTCTTAATTAGCAGAATATCAGGTTTTGTCCTTGTCTTTACCGTAATCCTGCTCACTCACCACCTGACAGGTCACCACTTCCTCTGGAGAACACAATAGCAGGATATCATGTCAGACAGCAAGTAGTGCACCACATGCCTTCTATGTACAAGCCCAAGCACATGGATGTTTATGGGATGAAATCTAGTATATGTATGACACAAAGCTGAAACCTTTCTGCTTAGAGTTATGGTTGCTATCCTTGGAATATCCTTTCTTTTATTAAGGACTGTGTTCTTGATCTTTGAAGACAGAATGGTGACAGAATTACTCAAAAAGCTCAGTTAACCCTCATAACCTCTTTCTAATGCTTTTTAATTTGATATGAAGTCAAGAATAGAATACTAAAGTTTGTTAAGTGAAAATGGAGCTAAAAGAAAATCTTAACGCTAATATGAAGCTCGTGATTAGCTTAGCTTAGTAGCCTGTAAACCTCCAAGCAGGAGGAAAACAGCTTCAGTCTATCTAAACATAGTCGTCCATCAGTTACACACGTGTTCAAATTAAACTAACCCTTGTTTATCGACAGACATTTGCCCCAAAGTTGGTAATTCTGGACTTCAGTGATATGGACAGTATGGAGGACGTGATTGCTGAGGTGGTTGAATGTTATGGTTGTGTGGACGTGCTGATCTGCAATAGCAGTATGAAGCTGAAGGCGCCGGTTCAGAGTATCTCCTTGGAACAGGACAGAAATATCATGGATGTTAACTACTTCGGCCCAAGCACTCTAGCCAAAGGTGGGGTTGGCATTCTTAGAAATCCAGTAGCATTTCTTTGAGTTTGTTATTATTAAGATCTTATGAATGATATTTTTAAAAATGCGGCAGGTGTTCTTCCAATGATGATTTCAAGACGATCAGGCCACATTGTGCTGGTCAACAGCATCCAGGGCAGACTGGCTGTTCCATTCAGAAGTTCATGTGAGTTCCCAGCAAAGGTCTCTACAACTCTTTAGAAGTACACTTAGCACTGAATAAAAACAAGAGCAGTGAGCAAGATCTTTGCAAGTAATACATTTTTACTTTTTATATGTGATTCCATTTTAAATCATCTTTACCTAATTATTTAAACATATATGGAATTGCTAGTTAATGGTTAGGTATGCCTAGGTACAACCTATGGCGTCAAAGGACAAAACAGGCAACAATTGAACAAAGTATGCTGTATGGTATGTTTGGAATTCTTCCGTGCTTGCCACACTTCTTTTGTGAGTGTATCATTATGCGTGTTTGTGTTCATACCTGTCAGATGCCGCGTCTAAGCATGCGGCGCAGGCCTTCTTTGACTGTCTGCGAGCTGAAGTGGAAGAGTATGGAATAATTGTCAGCACCATCAGTCATACCTTCATCAATGCTTCTGAACCGCCGCCTGTAGAGGAACCTGTTCCCAAACCAAACCCTGTAGCTGAATGTGAGTAAAACAGTAGCAATGAAGCATTAAGGTGACTGAATGGTTCATGGAATGAATGCATGAAATGTTCCTGTTATTGTGGTGCATAGGCAAAACTAAACAAATCTGTCCTCTCGCAGTTATTGCCAGACAGCTGACCCACGGTGTGCGCCCGTCGGTCCTGGCCAATGAAATAATGCAAACTGTGAACAGGAAGAGGAAGGAGGTTCTGCTGGTCCACCCCATCCCCAGGGTGGCTCTCCATCTGCGCTCCCTCTTCCCCCCCTTCCTCTTCGCTGTGCTGGCTGCTGGAGTGAAAGACTCAGTGTTGGCTGAGCAGATGCAGTAGAAGAAAGGCTAGTGTGTGCGAGAAAGAGATGAGCAGTAAAGCTCACTTGTTTATTTTTTTTTTGGATATGCCAATTAAGTAAATGTATATCCTGAGGATTCCAGATGGGTTTGTAATAATAATGCTGAACAGATTATTAATAATGACCAGTAAAGCACCTTAAGATGCAACGATAGAGGCCTTAAAGGTACTTTTTGGAATTACCCTCTGCAGAAATGAATGACTATCACCAGGGGGCAGTGTTTTACCTGTGGCTGTATAGAGATACGTGCTGCTGTTTAACCTTTTAAAGTATGAACCTTGAAACAATTACCAGAAAATTCTCGTTTTTGGGGGGGAAATGGAGTGTTTATTGGAGCTCCTGACATATAAGTTTTAATTTGTATCATATTTGCTACATACAACATTTTTTTGTCATAATTTATTGCTTAAAAACATATTGTGCAATTTATTGTTTAAGTTTTTCAGAGGAGTGGTGTCATCACACTGATGATGAAGAAGTCTCAAAAACTCACAAAACCTCTTGTACTAAATATGATACCTTAGGAGCTAAAGGGTTAACTTGTAATATTTCTTTTTTGCTGCCACTTTAATTCTTTGTCCTATAAATAATGGCTACATTAACTTACTGCACCATCTAGTGGTACAACTGATCTTACACAAAAGTACTACAAGCCCCTTCAGTTTCAAATGATAATGCTCAACACAACTCATCAATCCATTTTTGTTTTTAACTTTCTGAAAAAGAGGAATTTCTAAATGAATGAATTCATAATAGTTGCTTTTAGACACAGGATGTTTTTGCCCATTTGTGGCAGAGGAAACACGGTGTGAACCCATTAATCTCATAAAGCTTGAAAGGCTAACATGATAGCATTTAATTAGAAAGCCAACAAGCAGATTTTGATAAGATATAGTCTCTCTCGCATCTCCACCAGCAAGCATCCAGCTCTTTGTCTTCACTGCTCAACAGCTTGTGATGAAAATGAAATTATATCAAATCAAATCACTGACCTGGGATGACCTCAAATGTTCCTCATTTATTGTAATTATACGGGTTGTGCTTTTTCACCGTATCTTATGTTGCCTGCCTGTTTATTCCTCTTAATTTAGACATTAAGTTTCATGTATAGATTAGATTAGAGTGAACCTGTACTGATGCCTGCAGGGAAATGGATCTGATTAAGTGCAAGTCAAGCAGGAAGCGCTTTTGATGATTACAAAACCAAGAGAAAATGAAATAATTGCAATAAATATTAGTCTTAGCTCACCATGTTTCCTGTCTTGTATCTTCCAGTACATTGGCTATCTCATCCTATTAGCAGATAAGCCCTTCTCCAGAAATTAGTCTTCCTATAAGAAAATATAATGCATGATGGTGGTGTTCATGAGCTACACACACAAAATGCATGAAATGATAGAAGAGTAAAGCGATTTTCATCATATAACCTATTTTATTTTATTATTTTTCTTTTTCATGCAGTCATGGTAACAGGTAATTACACTGATCATTAATATATCTTTAGAAAATGCCACCAGACCGTATTCTCATGGAAGGGCTGGTCCTTGGGCCTGACTTTTGTTTCCTTCTTTCAGGTCCTAATTCAGTGCTCCTCTCATTTCCTAAAGGAAATGAGTTCACTTTGTTGGGAGTCTAAATAAACTGTTTTCCTCCCAACATCTTTCTCTCTCTCTTTCTCTCTTTTTTGAGGTGCTATCAGTACAAGTGGACTTAGTTGAGTTATTACTTTGTCGATCTCTCTGCTTGTTGTGTTGTGAATGAACTGGGAATAATAAATGGGAGCTGATATACACTTTTTGGTAAAATATGATCATGTTTATAGCTACAAATCAAATCTGGGAGACTCCGCGTTGCTGCAAGAAAGATGTGCATCCAAGAAGAACTGAGCGGGTTATTAATGCATTATATGGGTCTAAGGATGATTGTTGCCAGTTAGCTTTTTGATTCATGATATATAGAAGTGGTCTGGACCCACAAGCCCATAATGCCGATTCTGCTAACTTCAATACACAGACCTGCCAGAACCTAACAGTAAGTAATGTTTTGTGTTCTTCTGCATACTGTTCAGGTCAGGTTTACATGGAGTAATAGTTTGATGTAAAGTAGCTGTAAATTTAAGAGTAACTTAATATGTTCTTCAGTTCAGTCTGTCATTTGATTACTTTGACACCCCCCCCCCCCCCCCCAAAAAATCTTTAATTCCTGGACTTTGTTTAATTATTACCTTTAAAATTCTTGTTATTACTGATATTTTGTTCCTAATTATTTGCACCTGCTTGGTATTCTTTCTTATTTGAATTTAATGTGAACTGGTGTTGTGCTGCTGGAATCATAATTTCCCTGAGGGACCCTCCCCAAAGTTCTATTCTATTCTATTCTATTCTATTCTATTCTATTCGTCTTTGAAAATGCACATCTGACACCTTGCCCCTTCAATATGGTCTTTACAACATAACTATAACATTTACTTATGAGTCATGGAAGCATTATGTTATATGAGAAAGATGTGTAAGTGGGCACATGTATGTAAAAGTCAAACTATAAATGAATGTATTTCCCTGTGCATCCTCCAGGTGGCAGCAGCTCATAGTTATTATGAAACCACCACATGACTGGCGATGAGCCTCCTTTCATAGTTCTTATCCAAGGGAGAAATCGCCCCAGCATTTATTCTGATGAAATATTAACTCCCTCTGTTAATTTCTGACTTATGAAATGTATAATGTATAATAAATAGACACAAATTCATAAGCTGTGACCTATTTTTCTTCAATTTTGTTTTTTGTCACGTCTCACTATGCCACCTCTCCTCCACTGTTGCAACAACTGTTTTTGCTGTGCAATAGAAAATAAGAAAACCAAAACCAAACAAAAAATCCCACAAAAAACAAGAAACCATATGAATTCCAGTTTGTTAATAACACTGGTTATTCCCTTTAAAAACTGCTGCATGACAAAGACCTTTTTCATGATGTTTACACAGATGTCTTACGTCTAATTACACGCCGCTCTTGGATTTATTGCTCTCATCACTTCAGGGCTGCAGGACACGAGCTGCGAGAATGCTTTGGGATCAATATTCACCCATGTGCTTGGAACATTTGGCACATTATATCAGAGACAACACGTCATACAGGATGTCCAGTTCTTCTTGTTACAACCGTGACGTTAATGAGGAGTAAATCCAGCAGATCTGGTCGAAGCAATGTGTGTGTGGGAGGAAGGGAGAGAATATGTGCACCAAGTCCAGCTGGTATGCGTGAGTCTGTCCTCCAGGTCACTCTCCTCTGGGGAGTTCCACATTTTTTTGTCTCCGGGGCCTCCGGACAGGAATGCCCCTTCAGTGTTCACATGAATAAATGCAGCCCTGACACATTTCCACATGTCACACAGGAAGGATTTCTTTAAGGCACTCAGCTGGAGTCACCAAATTGGCATTTGGATCAGACACATTTACATACGTCACATATGTCATGTATGTTGCATTGAGTGCAAAAGAGGCCAGCTCTTACATATGAATAATTGTTTAACAAGAGTTTCCTGGGAAGACTGCGAGCACGCTGCATTATATCAGCCATAAAATTGTCACATTCATTTCTGCTTAAAGGTTGCTCAAATGGAAAAGCATCAAGGTGCACGGGGCTATCTGTGAATGATCTAAGCCTAATAGTTTCTCTCAATCATCTGTCTGGGCTGGGTGAGCAATATGTTGATAAGACCCAAACAACACGGCAGGGATGATTGTCCTGAAGCGATATTCAGAGAGATGCATCCTGTATGCAAGCCATGACTTATATATGAGAATCACCTCACAATGACGTCTGCTGCTCAGAAATGCTCTTTCCATGAGCGGGGTGATCACCCTTATCAATTTTTTAAAGCCCGGGTTATTGACACTGTCCTGACTTATGGAGGTTATGCAGAGGCCATGGTAATGATTCCCTAAGCTTCCACATACAACACCAGAGGGGCTGGCTCTTACTCTAAAATATTGGATGATAGCAGATTTTACTGCGCCATTGAGCATTACTGTAATGTCTTCTTTGTCCATCTGGATATTTATATTCTCCTCTGTGACATGCAAAACAAGACATATTGCAGAAAAAAGGTCAAAAATGACCAGTGAGCGTGCATGCTTTTCAATATCAATTCAGTATTATTATTTACAGGATGCTGAATGGGTTTTCCTCAGCTGAAGTAAAAGCTGCACAAAGAAGACTCAGACACCACAATCAACTAGCTTTTTATTTGGCTTTGCATTTACTTGGATAGTTTTAATCTTTCAATAATGACGAACTTTACAAATAATGGCGTAAGTCCAGCTGTGACAGCCATACATTAATTAGTGTAACATACATCTGCTCAAAAAGCTGTTAATGAATTGCTAGTTTGCAGCATCAGTTCTTTGCAAGCACTCATTTCTCCTAAACACCCCTGGAGATGACCCACCACCAAGAGAAGATATTAGCTCTTAAGGGAATGTGAACAGCCATCAGTCTGAATAGATTATCTATAGGAGGCAGTTAATGTTAATATGGCATAATAGAGTGGCAACACTACTGCCACAAATGTGCAGGTGTCATAGGCGTGTATACTGGAAATAGGTTGTCAAAAATCCATCCGCTTATCCTTTTCAGGGTTGCTGGAGGCTATCGCAGCTGTCTTAGAGGCAGGGGTACACCCTGGACAGGTTGCCAGTCTGTCGCAGGGCTAACACATAGACAACCATTCATACTCACATTCCCACCTATTTGGGGGGGGGGGGGGGGGGGGGGCAATTTAGAGTTTCCAATTAACTTATTTTCCCACTAAGTGCATGTCTTTGGGAGGAAGCCAGAGCTCCTGGAGAGAACCCACACAAACTCCACACAGAAAGATCCCAGCCTGATGGTGGAATTGAACTCAGGACCTTCTTGCTATGAGGCAACAGTGCTAACCACCATGTTATCAAAAACAACAAAAAGCAATTATGACAGTCAGCTCACACAGAGGCTATTTTGAGCAGATGTATATAGTGAAGTTTGGCATGTGACATCACGTCCAACAACTTATGTTGTTTAAAGGAAATTATCGCTGCTGTTTCTTTCCCCACAGTGCCTATACTCTGCTGTTGGGTGCAGCAATCACCCCCAACTATTTATCTGATACAGCAGCATCAAATAAATAGTAGGGAGATAAATAGTTGTATTAGTTATAAGTAATTAGAATTTTTAAAGTCACCAGTATCTATTTCAAACATCTGATACACTGTTTAGATTTATATTTTTATTTTCACTACTCTCCTCAGATCCATCTCATCCTTTTCCTCTTCACCTAAAACCCTCTCTCCTGAAGTTTGGATTTGAACTAATCCTACAGAAAGATGATTATTTATTCTTGATATTCTCACAATTTGTTATTGACAGCAGATAAGAAATATTCTACCCACTGTGGACAGCTGACAAGAGCATTATAAGCTAACAGAATGCCAGCTAATTTTAGACTGCAGTGTCCTAAAGGACCAAGGTACTTTCAGGAAATCATATATATTTATTTTTATATCTACTAATCTAATCTAATAATGTAATAAAATAATCCTCATGTAAAAAAAATAAGTAATTCAAATACTGGTTAAGTACCTTTGTGAAAATCTATTGTAATCAAAAGATAGACTGCTAAGCTAGCGTAGTTAGGGTTTGGGTAGCTAAGAAAGACAAGAACGAAAACTGGGGGGAAAATCTAATCTGATTTATAATTATTTAATTTTTTTTGTCACTTTGTTTTGTTTATACATGCAGTTGCCATTAAGCCTATTATAATTCAGGGGCATTTGCAGGACTTTTTTTTTTTTATTATTATTTTTTATACATTGGCTGGTACCAAGAGAGAAACATTAAGATATTAGGGGCCAACAAGAAATGAGAAATAATTACAGAGTGCAACACATTTTACTGCACAAGAGTTTAAACTTTAATCTGTATTCGTTTCAAGTGTGTTTACAATGCAGATTTTGGTTTAAGTACTCCATAATGCATCGAAGCAACAAAAACGACTATTTTTTCAAAAGACAGTGAAAAGCAGTAGGACAATTAAAACTACAACGCAGGGTGGCAATTTCAGAATATAAATACACTAAATAGCATCTGCTGAAAAATAAATAAAGCTACACCTATAACCTTCAAAGACTTCAAAGAAAGGATGAATTTACCAACCAACTAAGAAACTCTATTTATTGTTTAAACCTGATTGAGCTCTAATAAACATCTGTT